AAAGTCCTATTGGCAATCTCTCGACTTCTCGCCACAAAAAATTCTTTCTCGCTCATTATATGTTGAAGTTAATGCTAACTAGATAGCTGGTGATGGTATGTTACATGTTAAACTCGTAAATTTGAAAATGAGCGCTTTTAAGGACCACTGCCACCTGAAAAGACTTTCAAAGGGTTTGATGTGCGTTGTGTCGATTTTCAACGCGCGTTGCACGCGCGCGCCATGCGCAAATGTGTCAGCTTTTTCATGAACAGCTTACAACCTAATTTATACAGTGATGGCCATATTAGATTATTGAAAGGAAGGTGTCATGGGGAGCATGACTGGGCAAACATAAGGAACAGCAGGCCCGTGGACTTTGACAAAGAGATCTCATTAAGATTATTACTTTCAATGAGATTTCACAATGCTTTGCAACTCATAACACACTTTCCTACGCAGTAATTAACTTCACCGGTTGTTTTTACATCAAAATTTCCAAAGATCATGTATTTTGAAGTGAGGTTATAACGTGAAATGATTCTTTTTGTTTTGGTATAAAAAGAAAGATTCGTGAAGAATATCTTTTGTGGACGTGTATTAAACTCTTGGGTAATTAGAAAAAATGACTAGCGCATGTAAAGTTTTCCGGCGAAACATTCGTCTTAGATGTTCCTCAAACGGTTTTTCGTTGCAACTCAAGTAATCTATTGAAATCTTTGAAAAAACACTTATAACTCATTTTGTCTCCTTTTTTTTGGGGGGGGAGTTTCCGTGTTGAAGAACACTCGCACATACATCATCATACCCCTAAACTTGACAAAGACCCAAACCGATTTTTACGAAACGCAAAAAAAGTCTTTATATAAAAATTCTTCGTTTGGGAAGGTAACTACCAATGAGTTGTGTTTACGATGTGTTTATTTCCGAAAAAAAAAATTCACGCCGAGAAATGCTTATTATATAACCAGGCCAACAAAATTTGTACGTATATCCGTTTCCTTTGTTTTCTTACTCTATCTCTCCTCTCGTTCTGTATATTCCCGTGCTAATGTCAGCATAGTTTCGAATCAATAGTTTATCTTTTTTTGTAGGATTTCTCGAAAACAAAGTTTAATCACACTACAAATTTTACAATCGACCAATATTTGTCCTTTCACCGTTTATCTCTCTTTTGAGCGATTTAATTGTCCATGCATGAACACAAAGCTCCCTAAATTAATTACGCGCAGAATTTCAGTGTGAAGATAGACTGCCGATAAAGTGACGATTACCTTTCTTTTCTTTTCCGAGACAGATGGCTGATAAAAGTGCTTTTAACAAAGAGATATACAGTTATTGGCAAGAACGAAAACTGACCGATCATGTTTTCAATCTGGTTCTGGACAATTGAAGAAATATTGTATTCGATCACGTTTCTTTTAACATTATAAATCCAATTATGTTTCTAAATACAAATTTTGTTTAAACTAACATACCGCCCACATTACAAAATAACGAAACAAATGCCGAAATATTATTGTTTCTATGCTGATTGTTGTATGCAGAAGAAATAAGTGGAACCAATATCTAATTTATCCAAACGTTTTAGCAATTTTACTGTCGGAGAAAACCAAGACCGTTTGTATTGTAAAAATGAAAGTTCGTAATTTTGAAGTGGAGTTGAAAACAGTACAGTTCTTGAGAAGGATATTCCTTCAGTGGACGAGAAAGGGAGAAAAAGGGAAAATTTTTATCTCGAACCTCTCGCATGTTCTGACCATGCACTGAACTTACAGGGATTCTCGTAGCGAGCTAGGCCATATATGTATATAAATAGAGCCCTTGGAAGCAAGCTCTAGTGTTTTTATTTTGCGGAGCAATATCATCGAGTTTGACCATCAATTTTATTCCATTTAGAAAGCGATCTGCTGGTGTTGTCACTAGTTTATTAGAGGAACGCCTGTGAGATCATGCTGACAGTGTAAACATCAGTTCTTCCTCTTTCATGAATAAGCGATAGTTTCTGTGATATGAATGGAATTTTTTTTTTTTTTGCTTGCTTTCAGTTCAACTAATTAATCAGTTTCCCTTCTGACGTCTCTTCTATTTCCTGATTTGTAGACATGATTTAAAAATCAGTAAGAGGATGACGAAAGGAAAGAAAAAAAAAACTATGATTGCACAAAAATTTATGGTGGAATTACGTGCGGCGAAAAAAATAAATCATACCATTTGAAACGGTTTTTATCAGTCATATTATACTCGGATCTCTCGGCTATGAATTAAAAGATTGAAATATACGGTGACATTTAATGTGGTGTAGAAAACCAAGTCATGCCATTTAAAACTACTTTTAAGTAATTGTACAGAAGTCGTTCGGCTATGAATTAACAGGCCATTGAAAAACAAACTTTTGAAAGGTTTTTTTCCTTCGTAGCGGGAGATGAACTTGCTCCTGTACCCCTATGCGTGTTTTTTTCTTCTGTATGCACGCTAAATTCTATTCGCATTATACCCTTTCTTAAAGAAACGGAAAGAAGTTAAAAAGCATGTATACTAGATTGTTCTCTAACACTCTCAAATGCAATCAATACTTAGATTTAAACAAAAACAAAAAACAGTGTTTATGATTTTGACATCCGACTTAATTTGAAGTTTATACACTTGCTGTGCCACCTAACCCAGTTGGTTAGCCGCATGACCCACTCAAACGTTTTTCCCTGTCAACATAATTTATTTTTAATCTTCCATTGATAAATCCTCCATTTGCTGTTGACCTTATAGAGGCGAAGCGTGGTTGCAAAACTTCGTATAATTGTCGCCGAGGTCGCGGGTATGGATCCCTTTCAAACTTCTTAAATGCATATTTTTTCCTGTGGGGCTATTAAAATACAACTGCTTAAGCACAGCAGTACCCTATCTGCGATCATAACTTTCATCTACATTTTGTTTTCTTCTTGTGCTATAGAAATAAGTGGTTAAATTTTTGGCTAAAACTAAAACCAGTTATGACTTAGTTTACGCGACCCTTCTGCGGTTGTCATCAGTTGCATGTTTCCAAGTTCTAATTTGATTGATTACTTTTTGTTGTAGTGATCTCCCTGGCTAGCTTTGCGATAATCAATCATGAAAAAACGTTTCTAATCCGTTCTTGAATAAGAATATGCGGTTATGCATCACAGAAATCAGACTTAAGCAGCAAATTCAAACCTCAAAATGCACGAAATATTTTACGAGTCATCATCTTTTTCGAATTGTTTTTTTCTTTTAAACAGTCACAGAAACAAACTATAGATAAGTCGTCGCGTGTGAAAAGCGATAAAAAGTTGAGAAATCCGTGTAAATTTATTTCCAGTATCTCGATAAAAGGGACGCACCATCGCACTTTCAGACATTTTTTAATTACATATATACAAGCGTAAAAATTATATTACGGGAATATCATCCCATGTTGATTCAAATTCCATATCTTTTATTGACTAAGACATAATATTTTTCAAATGTGGCAACATCTTTTTGTGTACTCCATTTTCGTTTGACATCATGACAGAAACTCACAATTTATTTCAATTAAAACTTACAAGGACATGTCGACTCATAACAGTCAACCGCGTCCACTGATAATTAAAGAGATAAACCTTGCCCGTGAAATTAACTTTCTTCAAACCGCCGCTATTTGGATACAAATTCCGGTTTTCGTAAAACAAAGCGAGAAATCGATGGAAATGGTTTTCAAAAAGGAGTATTTGAAGTTGACAAGAGGCGTCATAAAATTCAAAACAAAATTCTTTTTTAACCTCCACTGTTGTCGATTACAGAAGGCGTGCGCCATTGGAAGGATAAACCGCGCTGTGATTGGTTACTGTTTTAAAGTAGGGGTTAGTTTTGGTTTATCCGTGCGCTCTAATTGGCTGATTTGCGGGCTCGTGCCCCGCTCACTTTACGTAATGAAAAAATTATGCATTCAAATGGCTTCCCGCTCTAATTGAGTGTCGAACTAACTTCATTTATTGGCTAGTGAGCACAAAACGGATGTTACGACTAACAAACGCTTATGCTGTAAATTGTTTTCCAGTCAAAAACCTAAAGCACTCCGAGCAAATTACAATAATATACGCACATCTGGAGGCGAAGAAAATGAATATGGAATTCTTTTTAAAAATCGCAGCGATATTTCCGAGTCTGTGAAAGCCGCAATTCGCTTTAGTTGCGTATTTTTGGCTTTGTTCACGAAATTGTTCAGTAGGCGAATAAATTATTTGAAAAGTAACTTGAATCACACGCGGACAGGATAAATTTTGAGCGATAACGATTTCGCTGAGATGAAAAAATGACCGGTCTGGTGAACCGTCACACGAACTCCAGTCTTCAGTTAAAAGCGTCGAGCATCTTTGCCGAGGTAAACGGGTTCGCTGCGCGAGTTCTAGCGACGTTGACGTACTGTAATGATTGTGAATACGACGTGGAAGGATTATTTATTTTTCCGCAAGACGAGAGAGCTACAGTCGTCGAGTTTGAAGCGACGATAGAGGAGCGGCATGTTAGCACGCAAGTTTCGGAGATCATCACTCGCAATTCTGAAAAGCACGCGTTCGCTTTGGAGGAGCGAGACGACGATCTATTTTCGCTGAGTTTGGGGAGAATTCCTCCACTCACGTCGGTGTTTGTTCAAGTGACTTTGATTACGGAGCTTGGAACGGACGAAACAACCGGTGGATCGCTATTTGTTCTACCGTCGGTCTTCACTCCGCGACTCGCCAGCGACGAAAATGAAGAAACAGATTTGTACGGATCGCAGATGCTTATTACAAATATTCCCCGCAAGACTCAGGAGCCTTACAGTTTTGAGCTGCAGTTAGAGGTAGCCGCTCCGTGTTTATTGGCAGGGTGTTCGTCTCGAACGCACGCTATTCAAGTCGACGCAGATTGCCGAGCAACGAACGCTTCTCGCATTCACATCACGATCGCCGAAGCGCATACGTACGATCGGGAATTGGAGGTCGTACTTCACCTCTCGCATCCCTACGACCCTTACGTCCTGATCGAGGAAGGAAAGAAGGGTTATAACTCGCTGCGAGGTGAAGATAAAATGGAAAGCTCAAATAACTCTGATACTCTGGAAGATTTTCACAAGAAGGCGGCGATCATGATAAACTATACCCCAAGACTACCCACTCCGAGCGCTGTTGGGGAATATATCTTTCTCGTTGACCGCAGTGGCAGTATGAGCGGGGATCACATTTTTCACGTCAAAGAAACGTTGATACTCTTCCTCAAGAGCTTGCCAGCGAACTGTTGTTTTAACATTATTGGTTTTGGTTCGTATTATCGGAGTCTGTTCCAAGAAAGCCAACCGTACAACGAAACGACGTTGGGAAAAGCTTGCGCTTATGTGCATAAAATGAGGGCTGACCTAGGTGGTTCTAATCTCCTTCTACCTTTGGAGTTTATCTTTGAAAAGTCTACAAAGCTTGGAGTGGGGAGGACAGTTTTTATGCTGACTGATGGAGGTATATCAAATACTTTAGAGGTCGTGGATTTTGTGCGTCGAAATTCCTATACAACACGGTAAGGTTTTTTTGAGGGTTTTTTTTATTATTTAATTTTTTTTGGCCGGTAAATACGTTCAATGTAAACTATCTCTTTCCCCTGCAAGGCTCTGGTTGCGTTTGTGAGAAAAGTTTTTTCCACAGCACAGGTGACTCAGCTCTTTTTTATTTGTCTCGCCGATAATTGTTTCGCTGTGCGGAATATTTTATTTTCCAACACACAAACAATGTGTCGCTTAGTTTTTGCCACTGATTAATGCGTTGAAGAATAGGCTTTCCAGTCTTGCCATAATTTATCCCGTCTCTGATCACGAACTGAACCTACAAATATGCTGTGATCTTTTAAAATCCTTTACAACAACTGTAGACTGATTCGAAAGGCCATCGGCAGATCGTTCTTGAGGCAGCAATTGCAGAGTTTAAAACGCGACCAAGTGTACTCTTATAAACAAGAATTATTTAGTCGAAACAGTTTTAACTGTTTGCAAACTCACAGGTATGAAACTATACACTTATATTTTTTTTCGATGTTCCAGATATCATGATTCACATGACAAAATGAAAAGTAACCAGTTTTGTTTCAGATTATGTTTCCATTCGGTGCCTCTTAAACCAATATCTTCTTATATTATGCTAGTGTAAACACGTCCTCAAATTTTGAAAAGTTGCATAGCTTTCTGTTTTTCAGAGTACATTGGTTCAGATTCAATGTATAAAACTAAATGGTCGTTTTGCAACGAAAACCTGTCTCCTATAGATTGAAAATTGAATTTGTCTTCTTGTCTTCCTGTTCCCAACAAAGCTTGTTTTTAATTTTAAACATAAACTTATCGTCCAGGGTAATGGTTGTCTTGAAATAGAAAAAGATGCTTTCTATTCATTTGAGGAACAATTTCAATCGATATTTGTGTTCTGTAATTTTTAGAGCAGATTTGAAAACTATTAAAATCGACTTAGCGAACGAGGAACTATATTTCCGACCTTTTTATATTAATCTTTAAACGAAGACAAAGTTAAAGAAAAACGCTTGCCAAACTATAGTCATACATTTGGCAGCTCAATGCGTGGTTAATTTTACGTCGTTTGAGCCCGGAAGGTGCTTTTGAAAGTCTGGCGAAGGGGGCGTAAAAATACGAATTATTTTCCCTTCGTTTCTTGGTAAAATTGAAGCCGGAACTGACAGTTGAAATAGCGAGTTGAGAGCTTTTCGTTGACGACCGATATTTAGCCATTACTTAAGGCCCTCCGTGTAAACAACTTGAAATTTTCCGAGTGGTTTAATAAACTTAGAATTCATCGCTCCCGAGGCGAGAAAAAAATCATGTTCATTTCTTTGTAGCATTGTCATGACGGCGTAGTGTGAAGGAAAATTTTCTTGAATTTGCTCAAAGTTTTCAGTTTGGAGCGTTGGGAAAGCAACACCTTGAAAATTGAAATTACCATGCAATTTAAGTGTGAATAATTTTAGATTATCATTGTATAGCACATCTGTTCATGAAATACTGTAAATATTTCCTCTGGAAAGTTGCATTCGAAAGCGGTTATTTCTTAACAGGTATATGTAAACGTCGACTATGGTCAGCTTTTGACGGAAGATTTCAACTCATTTCTAGCTCGTCCATAGGAGAAATACTGGTCCGATGTGCCGATACTGAAGTTTGCACATTAATTATTTCAGACAAAGAAAAACCATAGACCAAGCAGGTGGTAATTTCAAAGATCAAGCGAAAATAATAAAGCAGAAAGTCCGGATGTGTTAATTTCAATAAAAAAGACCGTGTCACAATTGCTCAACCGTCCCTTCTTGAAACAGAAATGGACTCGAGCATGAACTGACTGCAAATAGCATATCTGATTAAATTTCGGCTTTTTCTTCACGAATTTAATGTCTGCTACAATATTACCGAGATTAAGCAGCATTGTCAAGGATCAAACTACTTTTCGCGACCAAGCAATGTGTTTTTAGACATTTTTAAATTTTACCGAAATCCATTTCGCCTTGCGTCTGATAAACGAAAAATACACGTCATTTACATCATACAAAGGTCGCCGAGTTTTACGCTGTTTTTTCTTTTTTTCTTTTTCTTTTTTTTTTTTTTTTNTTCGGAGGGCAACGCAGTTTTAACATACGATGCTTTAGAAGCCATTAAACTTCTTAGCCCTACCTTTTATAAACCAGCACTTTTTAGTTCTCTTTTTTTTTTTTTTTTGCGGGCTCTCGAAAAAACATTAGATGAGAAATAGCGGTTTTATGTTAATATGAAATGATTTGAGCGCTAACTTTTTGCACCGTTTGGACAAGCCGACTTGTCATTGTTAATTTCGTCGGGCGTCAAGCGCTATAGATGAAAATATTGTAGTTCTTTAAAAAACGCAGTGATTTTCGCTTTTCTCCAGCTAAACGAATCTGCGTGTTTTTGTGTTTGAAATCAGCAGTTGTTGTTAGAAACACAGTTGCTTACATCTTTTCATCTCGTGCAAATCAGTTTTTGTGTCGTACCTTTTTTGTGCCGATTTAATAGTGCAACATCCAACCTTGCATACACCATTTATAAGAATTGCAAGGCCTGAGTAGAAGACGAATGAATTAAAAGCGTTGGTTTTTTGCATCTGATTCGTTGAAAAGAGTTGGTTGTCAAACTTTTCAGTAACCTCAAAGAGCTCACATTTAAAACCAATCATAAACCAGAATTAATTACAGACCGCAATCGTGGCCAGCATTGCAAATGCACAAAGCCCTGGCCAAACGGATTCGCAAGTAGTTGCAAGTAGCCGCAAGTTGAACTTGCGTTGGGTGGCCAAACAGACTCGCACGTTTCCTCGCAGGTGCACGCAAGTCGCCAAAAACCCATTTCAAGCAACCTCGTTCCCAGGGTCTGTAGGAACGAGGTTGCATTTCAAGACTACGGGTTTAGTATTTCATTGGCTAATAGGTTGCTATAACAACGAATAGACGTCACTCAACTTGCGTTGACTTGGGTTGGGTGGCCAAACGGTTAAAAACCTGCGTCGACTTGCGTGCGAATTCGATCTCGACTAAAGTGAGCACAAGTCATCGCAAGCCAACGAAAGTCAACGCAAGGAGTCTGGGCAAACAGACTCGCAAGTAGACCAAGTTTTCAACTTGCGTCTACTAGCAAGTCCGTTTAGCTGGGGATTAAAATGAAGGTACAGGAATCTTTCCTATAGTCCCTTGTATCTTGATATATTCTTATTTTGTGTTCGTTAGGTTTTACACGTTTGGAATCGGACCAGAAGCTTGTCCCAACCTGGTGCAGGGTGTGGCTGGGGCAGGAAGGGGTCAGGCATACTTCATAGCAGATGATGAACGAATGCCAGTTAAGGTAAATATTGCATCAGAAATAGCAAGTTTTTGAAATGATAAAATAGATTGGTGTGTCCCTTGTAAGTAACTGCATAATTTCTTACTTTCTGACAGTCCTGGCTGTGCGGTAGCTTAGCGTGTGTAAAGCATAGCGGGTTGGAGGTCTAGATCGAAAACCTGGGCAGGGTTCTGTTGTGTTCTTTTAAAAGACACTTCGCTTCGAGTTTCACAATGTCTCTGATCATGAAAGCTTGTCATTCGTGGTGTAGAGCCCGGTATGATACTCGAAAGGATTAAAGCAAAGGCTTTTGTGTGCCATCTGGCACTGCGCTAATATTTCCCATTGCGTTCTTTTCTCAGGTAATGGAAGCACTCGCAGATGCCCTTCAGCCCGCGATCACAGACCTAGAGGTCAGCTGGCACCTCCCCGAAGGATACGACGTCATCCAGACGCCACAACTCCTGCCCTTCGTTCAGAACAACAAGCGGCTGGTGATATATGCAATTTTGTACCGTCCCCCGGGGGAGGAAAAAGATTCTCCGAGAACACCCATCAAGAGGAAAATGGATTGGAGTATGAGGTCATTTTCAAACAGCTCGGTCAAAGTGTTTTGGTTTGAGGACGAGTGCGACCTGCTGGCGGAAGATCAGTTGTTGTTAGAAGCGGAGGAATCGCTACCCTTGAGCGAGGATGACTTTGAAAAGGACGAGGAATTCAAAGACGAAGCGGGAGTGCCGGAGCAGGACAGCTTTGATACCGAGATGGAAAGCGTTCCCGAACCGGATACAATAGAAGCCATTGCTGACGGGCTTCTTAAACGCATGTGCAGGGAATTGAGCCAGGATAAGGCTAGTGAAGGTGACCATGAGATAACGCCATCTCCCTCTGTGCTTGAAAGCGGTGAGCCGTGCGAGTCACGCAACGAGGATTTAAGTTACGACTGGTCGTGTGAGAAGAATGTCCGGTCTGACATGATATCTGTTTACCCAGATGTAAACGAACAGAATAACAATGATCTTTACTCAACTAAAACCAAGTTGCCAAACATACCCAAACAAGACGACGTCGCATTTCAGAATGCCTTAGGTGGCGTTTCCAATGACATTAAAGACAGTAATTTGTGTAATGATGACTCAAAGAAGGCTGATGAATCCCATGAACACCAAAGGTCGCCAAAACTCGTGCGCGCCTACGAACGGGACAGTGGTGTTGGTTTCAGTATAGAAGAAAATGACAAGAGTCCCGATGAAGCCAAGAAGGACCGCCATCTCAACGAAGAAGAAGAAGAACCGAACGACTGGTCACATGAAAGCGACAGTCCAGCTTTTGAGGAATCCAACAATACAAGAAAAACTGCCGTCCATATTTACAAGAACAGCGAGTTCCTGTCGCAACTTGGCGTACCTGCCGACTTTGGCGCGGTGAATATCCGGGGATTTGTCGGCGACGAGGAAATGGAGCAAGTCATTCCATTTCCGGTTAACCGATGTGGTGGTTCTTCGAAGCGTCCCACAATCCACCAGCTGCTGGCACGATCACTGATCAGAGAACTACAGTCTTCCGTGGACTCCACAAGTACAGAAACTATTGAGATAATAAAAGGGATGAGTGAGCTGTCTAGCGTCCACTCCAGGCACACAGCCCTTGTGGCACGTGACCAGTATTGTTATGACGACCAGGTTTTAAGTGCTTTGCAGTTTCCACAGACAGAAACTCTGACTGGCTTTGGGTAAGTTAAAATCCAATTTTGTTTTGAGCGAGTAAGCTTATTGTATTGTAGAGGTTACTTAACGAACGAATTATACGGACGAATGCCGTTAAAAACAGCTTTTCGTATTCAAGCTTATTACTTCATACATTTATTATACTTTTCATCCGCTTTTTCAAAGGAATCGTAAAGTGAAAGTCCTAGAGCGAAACTCCGGCTTCACGGAGGGCCTGGGCCGGCGTCTCCCCAGTCCAGATGGCAGTGACCAAGACATTTCGCCATATTTCGCCGAGGGCGGAAACAACCCTGTTCTGGAGGCTGGAGAAGAGCCAGTGGATTTTTATCGCCTTGAGCGAACTGGTAAAGATTTTTGTTTGTGAGATCTCTTGTACTTTCGCTTCTATTCTTAACTCTGTGATTGGCTAAAAAAAACACTCACGCTTCCCACTTGGCCAATCATGGAGCAAAACCTGTCGCGAATTGGTCACGCGCGTTTTTTGTGTATTTACGTGGAGTTTTGTTGTTGTTGTTTTTGGTTTATTGTATTGTTTGCATTCGTTGTGATTGGCCGTTTTGCCGATTACCCTTAATTGGTTTTGGTTTGGCGCGGAAGACTCTTGTTTACTTAACGTAAAGCAAGTTATTTTCATTTTCCAAGGTACTCCAGAGAGTCAACACGAAGAAAGTGGATCAAGAAAAGAAACTGAGGGTACTCAAACGTCTCCCAGTAAAAGTCCACGAAAACATGTTCCTCCTTTCTCCACGAGATGCGTCTTAGGTGAGAGGCAGCAAACCCCCTCGAAAATCAAACCCAAACTCCTCTCCTCCTCCAGTCTTGATACCTACTGGAGTCCTGGGACCAAACAGCATTTGTCGTTTGTGCGCATGATCAGTTTGCAGTCTGCTCAGGGAAGCTGGAACATAGATTACGCCTTCGCGGAAGTCCTGGGGCTATCGCTGAATGGTATTCAAGAAGCGTCCCCGCTGGCCGACAACTCCGTTTATATCGCGGACGACCTTCAAGAGCTGATGGATTCCGATAAGTGCGATAATAGTTCTCAGTTGTGGGCCACTGCACTTGCGCTGAGTTGGTTATATCGAAAGAGGCGCCAATTCGAGGCAGAGTGGAGCCTGGCGGCGAAGAAGGCGGAGGATTGGATGAGTGGGATCCCGTGTCCCCGCGGGTTTTCACCCGATGACTTGAAAGCCCTCGCCTACCAAGCGCTTCTGCTTCTTGAAACAGAAACACGAAAAACATCAACGGTTAGCACTATGCCGCAGGGAAAAATAGGTCTGAGCTTAGCTACAGTGTAATCACCATTTAGTAAACACAAATTTAACAAACTCAATTACGACGAAAAACTCTCGATTGTGGCGGAAAACGTTGTGAATTACACAGGGGACTCTCACTTCAGATTGAAAATGAATAAAATCTATGTTAGCATGCAATGAAGGTGTCGTTGTGTGTGAGGTACACATTTTGAATTTGAGATACGCGACCAGCTGTTGCTGGGGTCTGGGACTGCTGAGAAAATTTGGAAACTGAATAATCGCGCGCAGAGAAGTGTAAAAAGTTTAAAACGGCCGCTTTACCAACGAATTAGACAACTTTATCGCTGGTAACAAAAGATTCATTTTCCTCTAGATTTGTGTGAGAGTCCCCGCTCGACCAGAGGGCGCAAGGAAAGAGTTAGGCTGCTGGCCACGCCCATCTCAGCAGGCTTACAGGGTTGGCTGAAAAAACAAGTAACAAACAACAGGAAATTAGTAATGAACCTAGCTCTTAAAAGGGAGCGAATGAAATTACATGTTGTAGAGAGATGCGTTTTTCCGCTAGAGCAAAGGGTTGGTAACAGTAACAGACAGATAATGTTATCAATCGTTGATTAAGTTTGGAATAGACCATTTTACAGTTGTCTGCTCAGTGACCTGGCCTTTCAATCGCAGCGAGGCTGGAGGTGACCTTGTTTTGATATAGACCTTACTGCTTTTGTTGTGTAAATCAAGTTGTTCTAATTCTAACTAGGTGCATTTACGTGACAAAAGTAGCCGAGAGGTCTGCATCAAAGCAAGATCACCTCCAGTCTCGCTGCCATTCAAAGACCAGGTCACCGAGCAGGAAACTGTAAAATGGTCTATTCGGCTCTCCAACCAAGCTTAGGTATGTCTATGTGGAGATGTTTCACTTAACAGGCCAAATTCGTGTACCCGATGTTGGTCTGGAATTTGCTTGCAACGGAGGGCAATGCAGGGGAGTATTATTAAAAAAAAATTTATCTCATTTGCATTTGAAAAGACTCTCCTCACTAGCCTCATTTGCAAGCTAGTTCCAGTCCAATCCTGAGAATACAAATGTGACCTATTGTCTAGAGGCGCGTTTGAAAATAATGCTTCTTGTTATGTCACGCGGCTCAAATACGATTGCAAAATAGCTCAGGGAAAACGCCTGAAACCAGGTTTGGTTTTGGTTATTTTGATTTGATTTTTACCTTTTTTTTGTTTTATTTGCAGACGCTTCGTTATCTGGAAGCCTAAGATATCGCAGAAATACCTGGAACTTTTGAACGTACAAAGTCATAGAGAGCTGCTTTGCTTTGCGTCTAGGAAGACTGATTTAGCTCTGTACGTGCATGCAGTCCAGTCTTTCTCGAGATTTTAGTTGTTCGTGACCGAAATAGA